ACTCGCCGGCGGCCTGGAGGCCGAAATGTTCCCTCCCCGGCCAGCCCCCCCCCCAGGTGCCTCTCTAGGATTGCAGACTTCCTCACTTTAACCCCTGGAGGGGATCGCTCCAGTTAAACTCAGCCGTGGGGACAGAAAGGAAAGGAACGATCCAAAGCGTCAGATAAATGATTTAAGATATCCGACATACCAGGATCGGGTTGCATGGTGCTTATTATAACGGGAAGGTGGAAAACTGGAAATGCAAAGACTTCTCTGATAAGCATGTGGTTGGGGATGCCTCCCTGCAAACAGGTTTTGTTTTATCCTTCCTGAGGCTGTGGTCGCACACAATCCACTGTCAGTGCACTTTCTAACTGGATGTTGCCAGTTCACACAGTAAAATCCAGTTGGAAAGTGCACTGAAAGTGGATTGTTTAGTCAGCGTGTCACTCCTTTATTTTAGTCACTCCTTTTAATCCATGTTAATCTGGTCTCCTCCAAGCAACTTTGCACTAAAACTGAATTCAGTTTTCTTTTTAATCCGGATTTTCCCTCCCATTCTTCACTAAAATCGAGTTTAGCTTTCTTTTTAATCTGCCCCCCCCCCTTCTGCATTACATTACCTCCCTTCAGTGGTCAGCCCGGTTTCAGCCTGCTGTTGCCCTGGGTTATTTGGATGCTGTTTTGCCTTCAATCAAACACTGAGAAAAGCCAGACTGGCAGGCAAATGCGGAAAGGACCACAGTGCCATTGAATGCAGCCTTAATCTTGATTTCTGGTTTCCGCCCGGGGCAATTGTTAGATCAGATCTTCCCTCTACCTTGCCTGAGCATCAAAGACTTGTCAGATCCCACACCCAGATTTATGCCTTCACGAGACAGCAATGCCCTCGGGATGCCAGCCTCCAGGTGGGACCTGGGGATCTCCTGGAATTGCAATTTATCTCGATTACAGAGATCAGTTCCCCTAGATGGATGCTTTGGAGGGTGGACTCTGTGGCATTGAACCCCACTGAGGTCCTTGTCCTCCCTGGCCTCCATTCCCAAATCTCCAGGAGTTTCCCAGCCTGGATCTGGCAACCCAACTTTCCACCCTCTACATTGGACAAACAGGCCAGTCACTATGACAAGAGTAAATGGTCGTACATCTGACATTAGAAGCGGCAACATTAAAAAAAAAAAAAAAGCAGTGGGGGAACATTTTAACCTTCCAGGACATTCAGCTGCTGACCTGAGAGTAACAGTTCTCTTACAAAGAAATTTCAAAGGGAAATTGGAAAGAGAGACTGCTGAATTGTAACTGATAATGAAGCCCCAGACATTGTATCCACCTGGACTGAATCGTGACGGAGGTTAACTGTCTCATTACCAGTGCTGATTTCTCCGCACTGCTACCCCTGTTGGACTGAAGCAACAGAACAAGGTTTGAGTCCAGTGGCACCTGCAAGACCAACAAGTTTAATTCTGCACAGGAAAGCTTATATCCAGAATTGAATTTGTTGGTCTTAAAGGTGCCACTGGACTCAAACTGTTCTACCTCCCTGCATATCACACCTTAATCTAATACGTCCGTATTTAATTGGGCCTCCCCTCCTGTGAGTCAGATCTGAATAACTACTTGGAACCCCAACTACCTCATCTGTTGAGGCTCTGTGTATTTTATTTAATGTATTTTAATCGGGTTTAACTGTTTTCATATACTATATATGATGGGACCTGCCCTGAGCTTGCTATGCAGGAGCAGGATACAAATCTAATAAAATAAAATATTGTCATTGGGCATCTGAGAGCACTCCAGCCTCCAAGATATGGACTCCCATTCTGGCTGTATCTGAAGAAGTGAGCAGCGGCTCAGGAAAGCTCACACCCGGCCACAATTTTTCTTCGTCTTTAAGGTGCTACTGGACTCTTGCTCTTTTCTACAACGCCCAGAGTTATTTTGTAAGGAGTTATGCCATCCACAAACAGACAAGATTAGCTTCCTTTGCATGTGCACTCTGCACATGCTCGGAGGCTTGTGGAGCCAAGGGACACACACACACCCTTTCGCGCGTTGCAAACGACTCCGGAGCGGCCAGCAGAGGGCTCCGGTGCGCAAAGGAGGAGTGCACCGAGCTCGGTCTCCTCTGGAGGAGGAAAGGGCTACGCTTCACCCCTGGCGATCGAGTTTGCATTCGAGAGAGGAGGAAAGCGCAGGCAGGCGGGCGGGCGCACGGATCCTGGTACCGTCTGGCAGTAGGGAAACGCGATCAGGCCGGGGGGCGCTGCGTCATCCCCACCCGCCCCCGAAGCGGCAGCGACCCGCCGAGCTGTTCTCTGCCTGAATTCTCCCTGCCCGGCCAGTCTGCCGTCAAAGGCCGTCCTTTGCCCAGGTGGCTCCGGAGGGATGGAGCCAGGTAAGGAGGAGGAGAAGAAGAGATTGGATTTACACCCCGCCCTTCACTACCCAGGGAGTCTCAGAGCGGCTTACAAACGCCTTTCCCTTCCCCTCCCCACAACAGACCACCCTGTGAGCAATGCTCCCTCTAAGCTGTAGAGTCTTGCGAGCAAAAATTCTACTTGGTGAGCTGCTGGGCATTAAAGTTGTGAGCGAGCGAGTTGGCTGCTGCATCAGTTAGTTAGCTCTGGAGCCCTCCTTCCTGAGCTGAGACAAAAATGTGTGAGCCAGAGGCTAAAAAACTGTGAGCTGGCTCACACTAACTCAGCTTAGAGGGAACACTGCCTGCGAGGTAGGTGGGGCTGAGAGAGCTCTTGACAGAAGCTGCTCTTTTTTCAAGAACAGCTCTTATCAGAACTGTGGCTTGCCCAAGGTCATCCAGCAGCTGCAAATGGAGTGGGGAATCAAACCTGATTCTCCCAGATTCTCCGGGAGGGGAGGGCGGAGGCGCCTGTGGTGGTAAGGAAGGTTTCTATAAAATCCCTCCCGGTCTCACACAGTAGCCAACTAATTCCTCTGGAGGACTAACAACAAGGCATAGAGGCCGAGGCCTTCCTCTGATAAGAACATAAGAGTCCTGCTGGATCAGACCCGCGGTCCATCTAGTCCAGCATCCTGTCTCCCACAGAGACCAACCAGTTCCTCTAGACAGTCAACAACAGGGCATAGAGGCCTTCCCCTGATGTTGCCTCCTGGCTCTGGGATTCAGAGGCTTAGTGCCTCTAAATGTGGAGGCTCCCCTCAGTCATCATGACTAGTAGCCAGCCAGTGTTCCCTCTAAGATGAGTTAGTGTGAGCTAGCTCACAGTTTTATAGCCTCTGGCTCACACATTTTTGTCTTAGCCCAGGACAGATGGCTCCAGAGCAAACTAATTGATGCTGCAGCCAAATCACTCGCTCACAACTTTAATGCCAGTCGCTCACGAAGTAGGATTTTTGCTCACAAGACTCCACAGCTTAGAGGGAACATTGGACTAGCCACTGATAGACTTATCCTCCCTGAATCTATCTAATCCCATTTTAAAGCCATTTATTCCTGTGGCCATCACTACATCCACTGACAGCAAATTCCACCTTTTCATCACTGTCTGTGTAAAGTAGTATTTTCTTTTGTCTCTCCTAAGCCATTCTGGCTTATACCCATTGATAAGCTTCAACAATTTGTTTTATAGCCCTCTGTTGATTGTATTGACTCACTCTGTGTAATCTACCATGAGTCCAAGTGAGAAAGGCGGACTATAAATGTTGTAAATAAATAAGATAGATCACTAGATCTTGTGGCCATGAATTCCGTAAGTGAATGATGAATGCTTCAATATACATCATCTCAGTCCTCACAACAGCCCTAAGAGGTAGGCTAATATTCCTTTCTTATTGCAGAGGGGAGACAAAGTTAAAATGAGAGTTACTTCCCCTCAGGCCGCCAGTGAGTTTTTGGCAAAGGCAAGATCTGCCCCAGGGCCTTCCTGATTTGTAACTCAGTCTTTTAACTTGTGTACTACGCCAGCAAAATAATAATGTTAAAAGTTGACTTTCTGTGCAGGTGTTCATCAATTGAAAAGTCCTTGGTAGCATTTAGAAATTCCAGTGCTGCTGAGATTTCCTTTGTTTTCAGAAAGTGGTTTACAGGTACATGATGCCTCTTTTAGGGTTGGTTTTGGTGACTTCTGATTTCTTGAATCACACAGGTTCTGTTGGGTTAACGTTTTCCCCAGTCGGTTTGAACCTTGTGCCTCTGAGGGCCTTCCATTTCCAGCTAGAGAAGCTAAATCCGGAAACGTTTTGGTGTCTGACTATTGTCAAAATGAATTTAAAACGTAAGGTTTCAGAATTCCCCTTTTCTCTGTGCGTGTCCAGGAGTTTCCTGAGCACCTGGGCCGGGTGAAAATGGAAGCGGGTGAGAAGCCAGCGGTCTCAGATCTCCCCTGCCAGGTTGGTCGCACCTAGAGCAGCTCTGCCCAGCTGCGTGTGGGGGTGGCATTGAGCATGGGTCGGGTCCCTGATCCCACAGAGTATGTGCCTTTGAAACTCTCCTTCCCAGGCCTTGTTCTGAAGCCCTGCCGATCCACCACATCTGGCTTATGTTCTCAGGAAAACCCTTTTGCCTCCAAAACTTCCCTTGCCACCCATCTAGCTTTAGCTAGCAGGATAGCCTTGGAAGATGACCAGAGTGGTTGAGTAGATTCAATGTAGCTTTGTTGTTTGTGAACCTGAACCCTCTATTTCTGTCTGGAGAAAAGCTAGAAAACTTTTGAGAGAAAAATGAGCTTTAATTATTTGTGAAAATGAATTAAAGATGTAACATTCGGAATTCCTTTCCCCTCCCTCCTACGGTTAGGAGACTCCAGAGCAGTGTTCCCTCTAAGCTGAGTTAGTGTGAGCTAGCTCACAGTTCTTTAGCCTCCGGCTCACACATTTTTATCTTCGCTCAGGAAGGACGGCTCCAGAGCAAACTGATGGATGCAGGAGCCAAATCGCTAACTCACAACTTTAATGCCACTAGCTCACAAAGTAGAATTTTTGCTCACAAGATGGCACAGCTTAAAAGGAACATTGCTCCAGAGTGCATGAGCTAGGTGAAAATGGAAGCGGGTGAGAAGTCGCCAGTATCGGAAGATCTCTCCTATCAGGTTGGTCACACCTGGGGCAAATCTGCCCAGCCGTGGGCTTTTGTGGGGGTTCTGGTTTTGTGGGGTCCTGATCAATGTTCCCTCTAAGCTATGGAGCCCTGTGAGCAAAAATTCTACTTTGTGAGCTACCTGGCATTAAAGTTGTGAGCAGGAAATTTGGCTGCTGCATAAATTAGTTTGCTCAGGAGCCATCCTTCCTGAGCTAAGGCAAAAATGTGTGAGCCAGAGGCTAAAAAACTGTGAGCTAGCTCACACTAACTTAGCTTAGAGGGAACACTGGCCCTGATCCATGTGAGGCAGCTGAGGCTTCTGTGAGGATGGTAGCAACCTCAGCAGTTGCTTGAGCCTCTTAAATTCCTGGTGGGAGGAGGTGCCTTTAGACAGAGAGATTGCAGTCTGCAAGTCTGGGTTTATTCTCTTTGGGGAAATTCTCCGATCTACAGTACAGCTAGAGCTGAGGCATCTGGGTGTGTTCTGTTTGGCAAGCCAGTGGGTTGTTATTATATGTAAGAAATATGAAAAAGAGATCAAGATGGGTAGCTGTCTTAGTCTATCTGTAGCAGCAGAAAAGAGAAATAGTCCAGTAGCACCTTAAAGACTAACAAAATCGGTGGCAGGGGAGGAGCTTTTGGGAGCCACTGCTCACTTCTTCAGATACTACCATCTCAAAAAAAATTATTTATAACTCTCCTTTCACGCTGACAGTCAAGGTGGATTGCAAGTTTAGTCAGTGCCTTGAAATAACACGAGAACTAACAGGTAACCAACGGGCTGAGGAAAAGGGTTGCGAGTGATTTGCGAGGGACATCAGGGGCCCATTGGTGTGACCCTTGCAAGATTTCAGCAACCACAAACACAAGGGAAACCAAACCAAACCCTAAGTAGCATTCATGCCGGCCTGTTTACTATATAATAATAATAATAATAATAATAATAATTTCATTTATTAATCACTTTCCCCAGTGGGCTCAAAGCGATGTACAGTTACTCAGTATAGACAAGGGACTAACAATGTTTGTAGGGGAAAGGGAAGACAACATATATTCATTTAATTGCACACGCTGTCACTGCATGTGCAATTAGATGTCTTCTGGCTTGGCTCCGTCGTTTTCCGCACGGCTGCTTGTTGACCAGGCTTCAGGACCCATATGTCAATCGCCACACTGCCACCACCTGGCCAGAATATCCACTGCAGGGATTCTTTCGTAGGCGAGAAGTTATTTCACCTTTCCGAACCTCGACCAGGACGTCCGACCATCAGCTAACACCATCCCACAAGGGAGATTGGCGTGCCCACCCTCTCTAAGGAGTGGTTCCCATTTTATCTACTCGCTGAAGCTTTCGAATCACTGGATGGACGATGAGCTGGGGACAACAGGCTGGCTGCTCACACCAGCGCGGGGCTCGAACTAACACAGTTCAGATGTTGACAGTGGGATATACCCCCTTTAACCTTATTTAACCTTATAGGAAGCTGTCAGATTATTTAGAATAATACTTTTGGACTAGCAGCATCCTTGACCATGCAAAAATTGCCATGATCTGGAAGCTGAACTCAACACCTAGAGTGTGTTTTTATGTTTGCTGCCGGCCGTCTTACCATAAGGCACAGCCCCGAAAATACCCACAGCAAGAAATCAAAGAGGTTCGCTATAAATAAGTTTCTGGGAGGGGCAGAACAGCTTCATAGGTTCTTTGCCTGCTTTCCAGAATCCCATTAATTGTGTTTCCTCATTCCTTGCAGGCTGTTGGAGACCTTGGAAACAGGTGAGTATCTGTGTTGGTCTGCACAGTAGAACCTCTTGGTTCAAGTCCAATGGTCCCTTAGGGACCAACAAGTTGCTCCTGGACTTGAATTGAGATATTCTGAAGGAGGAGAACACAGCCGGAGAGGGCGATGCCCTATCCTGTCTGGTCCACAGGAAGACTGGGACTGAGCCCTGTCCCACCCCATGGGCAGAGGGAGAGCTGGAGGACACCAGAAGTCCCCGCAGTTCCCCCCTACTTTAACCCTTGGATGTGAACTTATGATAGTGCCTTCTCCTGAGTCAGGCTGTTTTATTGGTACAGAGAAGAAGTCTGAGGGCCCAACTGAGTCAGGCTGTTTTATTGGTAGAGAGAAGAAGTCAGGGCCCAACTACAAATTATATTTTACAAGGATCACTATGGGAACTTGCAGGCATGTATCAGCTGCGAGTTCCCTGTGGGAACTCAGTTCTTCCCTGTGGGAACTCAATTCTTCCCTGTGGGAACTCAGTTCTAAAGCACTGTTTTGGACTGGGATTGTGCCATGCAGGAAGGAGGGCTCTTGCCTCCCCCCCCCCCGCCCGTGCCATTTTCCCAGCCTAAATTATCCCTGAGGGATATTATTTGCCCCATCAGCTGGCTACAAGGGTACAGAATGTGCCTGCAGCACTTCGCAATTGAGTCCCCACAGGGAACATGCAGATGGCATCCCACTGCAAGTCCCTGTTGGAACCACATGTTCAATATAACATGTCGTTTTGGCCTCAGAGGCGTGTGAAGTTAGAGGTAGACAACCTGAGTGATAGTGGATGACTTTTTTTTTAGAATCATAGCGTTGGAAGGGTCCCCCAGGGTCATCTAGTCCAACCCCAGGGTAATCTAGTCCAACCCCTTCACAATGCAGGGAATTCGCAAATACCTCCCTCCCACACCCCCAGTGACCCCTGCTTTATGCCTTTCCCTTGCTCGAAAGCCAGTCGACTCCAACTCTAGGGTTGCGGTGCTCATCTCCGTTTCAAAGCCGAAGAGCCAGCACTGTCTGAAGACGTTTCCGTGGTCATGTGGCCGGCATGACTAAACACCAAGGCACACGAACGCTGTTACCTTCCCACTGAAGTGGTACCTATTTATCTACTTGCAATTTCTTGCTTTCGAACTGCTAGGTTGGCAGGAGCTGGAACTAGAGACGGGAGCTCACTCCATCATTTGGCACCTGGGTCTCGAACTGCTGAACTACCGACCTTCCATAGCCTGCAGTTCAGCGTCTTAACCACTTGAGCCACCGCAGCTCCTTGCTTTATGCCTAGAAGATGGCAAAAAACCCTCCCGGGTCCCTGGCCAAACTGGCCTGGAGAAAAATTGCTTCCTGACCCCAAAGTGGCAATCGACCTTTCCCCGGGCCTGTAAGACAGGGCCACAAGAATTAAGCACTGAGGCAACCCTTCCTGCCCTCCCTCTCATGAACTGCCTAAGTTCACAGAATCAGCATTGCTGTCCGATGGCCATCGAGCCTCCGCTTAAAAACTGCCGAAGGAGGAGAGCCCACCACCTCCCGAGGAAACCCGTTTAGCTGAGGAGCTACTCTGTCAGGAAGTTCTCCCTGATGTTTAGCTGAAAACCCTTTTGTTTTAATTTCAGTCCGTTGTTCTGGTCCGACCTTCTTTTGAACCCTCTGAGTTTCTCTTCTGTAGCAGGGAAGGCACCATCCCAAAGCCTGAACCTGACTGGGCAGAGCTGGAAACAGAATCTAACAATCCCATGGAGAAATGGTCCAACCTTCAGGCTGCACTGCTCAGATACAATGGTGAGGTTGACTCCCTCCTCCCCTGCCTCCCTGTATGTCTCCACTGCTGTATCCCCAGGGAATTTCCATTCACTTGAATTTCACCTCCCACCCCTCTTTGCAGGGTGTTTAAAAGGATTCTCCCTGCTGGAAACGCTGCAGGAGCCTTTGGTGTGTTCCTTAAATCAATCAGTTCCTTCCCATCCCAGTTGAGGCTTCTATTTCAGTGTGGCGTCGTGGTTGAGAGCAGCAGACTCTTAATTTGGACAACCGGGTTTGATTCCCCACTCCTCCGCAAGAAAGCCTGCTGGGTGACCTTGGGTCAGTCACAGTTCTCTGAGAGCTCTCTCAGCTCCACCTACCTCACAGGAGGGTGCCTCTTGTGGGGAGAGGAAGGGAAGGTGATTGTAAGCCCCTCTGAGAAAATCAGAGTATAAAAACCAGCTCTTCTTCTTGTATTCCCTGTGGCTGCTGGGGAATTAATAGTCTGCTCTTCAGCCACCAACAAAATTAGATTTTTTCTTTTATTTGCATAATTTATATTATGTAAAAGATGGCTTTGTATCATAGCCAATTCATCCTACAACACACATGGGCCTAGATCTTATGGAGGCGAGTGACCTTTGTCTGGGCAGTGCCACCTTAAACTCACTTGATTGAATGCTTCTTTTTAAAAAAAAAAAAAACCTTACTGTTTATGGGAAATTAGCAAGGAGAAGGATTCTGGCCTAACCCTCTCCCTGAGCTGCTAGTTTTCTAAGAACTGGGAGGGTATTCCTTTCTCCTGTTTATCCAATTATGTTGCAAAGTAACAGGTTATGATATACCAATGGACCCAGCTTTAATATTGCTGAATCTTTGGCCAATAGATAACTATTCTTCAAATTCTAAACAATTGATCAATATTTTGTTTACAGCAGCTTAAGTTGTTATCGCAAAAAAATGGAAAGATAAACAAATACCCACTATTACCCAATGGATTAAAAAGTTTTGGGATTTCTTTTTATTAGAAAAATATTCTATATATAGTTCTACACATCAAAGTGAATGTGAATTTTATAATCCATTAGATAAATGGAATCCTATCTTAGACAAAATTATAATTGAGAAATTCGATTGGGAAACAATTTCCAAAGCTAAATATCAACTCATGTTATATGGGCAATAATAGTATTTTTTTTTACTTTATTTATGTTTAACTACCAGAGACTATGGTAATGTTATTGAGAATATGAAGTTAAATATTCTTTCTTAAATTTTGTTTGAATATATAAGTTAAATGCTATTTGTTTGTAATGTAAATCATATAAGAACCTTGACAATATAACGTTACTGTTATTGTGAAATTTTGATACTTATACTTTCAATAAATGCTTTTGTTTGGAAAAAAAAATATGTTGCAAAGCAGAGCAAAATGGAGATGTGCAGTCTGAAGTAGTATATACGCCAAACAGCTTTATCACTGTTTCTGTATCAAGTGAAAATGAGGTGAATTTTGCTGTCTTCTGTCTGCCTCAACTGAATCCTGAACTGGGCGATCCAGTTTGGAAATTTTCTGAACCCACTAGAGGTGATGCGTAGTAAATTTGTTCCTCTGCGGACCAGATAAGTAAAATCGACACGGTGAGTATCTGCTGCCCGTGTTGCTGTGGGTATCACACCCGTCTTTATTCTTTCCTTGCTTTGCCAGGTCATGGATGGGTGCCTGAAAAGGAAAGAAAGGAGGAAGAGGGAGAAACTCCTAACAATGGGAATTATAAACAATTGTCTGGGGACGTAAAAGTGGAATATCAACTTCTCCAAGTGCCTGAGCAGGAAGAGGTTTTGGAAGATAAGAGGAAAACTGCAAGGCAGAAGAATAGAATTCCATCCGGAAACAGTCTAAATGAGCCGGTTTTCCACATGCCAAGTGATAAAAACACCAGCAAGAGACACTTGACGTGCAGCAAGTGTGGAGAAAGCTGCAGCAGCACCTCCAGCCTCATTGTTCACAAGAGAATCCACACAGAAGAGAAGCCCTACATATGCCTGAGCTGCGGGAAGACATTTGGGAAGAAATCTACGCTCGTTATCCACGAGAGAATCCACACCCAGGAGAAACCATACAAATGTCCTGTCTGTGGGAGGAGCTTCAGCCAAACCTCCAGCCTCACGGCCCACGAGAGGATCCACACGGAAGAGAAGCCATTTGAGTGTTCGGCATGCGGGAAGAGCTTTAGTGTGAAATCCAGCCTGGTCGCCCACGAGAGAATCCACACGGGAGAGAAGCCCTACAAGTGCTCTGACTGTGGGAAAAGCTTCGGCCACGTCTCTGCTCTCATCGCACATGTGAGGACCCACAGAGGCGAGAAACCCTTTGCTTGCTCCGCGTGCGGGAAGTGCTTCAGCCAGAGCTCGAACCTCATTGTGCATGAAAGAATCCACACCGGAGAGAAGCCGTACCAATGCTCTGAGTGCGGGAGGAGCTTCAACTGCAGCTCGATCCTTATTAGGCATCAGAGAATCCACAACGAGGACAACCCATACGAGTGCTCGGACTGTGGGAAAAACCTGAGCTGTAGCGCCAGCCTCATTAGACATCAGAGAACCCACACAGGAGAGAAGCCCTTCGAACGCTTAGACTGTGGGGGGAGTCTGAGTGTGAAATCCGGCCTCAGTGACCGCCAGAGAATCCACACGGGTGAGAAAACCTATAAATGTACAGAGTGTCCGAAGGGCGGCTGTGTGAGGCCATGCCTCGGTGCGGATGGGAGGATCCATGGAGGAGAAAAGCCATACGACTGCGCAGATTGCGGGAAGAGCTTCGCCAGGAATTCAAACCTCATTAGACACCGGAGGATCCATACGGGTGAGAAACCATACAACTGCACAGACTGTGGGAAAAGCTTCCTCTTGAGCTCAGACCTTCTTGTCCATCAGAGAACGCACACAGGAGAGAAGCCGTACCAGTGCTCAGACTGCGGCAAGCTCTTCAGCTGGAGTTCTCAGCTCCACGTGCACCGGAGAATCCACACAGGAGAGAAGCCCTATGGATGCTCAGACTGCGGCAAGAGCTTCACTTGTAGTTCAGGCCTGGCTAGGCATCGGAGGACTCACACAGGAAAGAAAGAGAAGCAAAGCCCAGAAAGGCTGGACCTGACTTTAAATCTCACTGCACACCAGAAAACAGAAACTAAGAAAAGAAGAGATTGGATTCATAACCTGCCCTTCACTACCTGAAAGAGTCTCTGAGCGGCTTACAAACTCCTTTCCCTTCCCCTCCCCACAACAGATACCCTGTGAGGTAGGTGGGGCTGAGAGAGCTCTTTCGAGGACTGCTCTTGAGAGAACGCCTCTGAGAGAACTTGTGGCTGACCCACAAGTTTTTAACCTAAGGAACATTTGGAACATTTGGCTGTACAACCTTAGATGACTATACAGTTGACCAGAGAGAAGTACCACTGGACATGTGATTTCACTGGAGGCTTCATTTGTATTTCTGTATTTCTTTTCCTTGCCCAGTGGTTAAACTTTGGAACAATTGATCTCTGGTCTTTATTCCATCTTTTGTAAATGTAGAATTCTATGTATTTTTACACATCAGCCTATATGTTCTGTATGTATTAGACCTCTGAAGAAGGCCTGTAAAGGCCGAAACGCGTTAGGTCTATCTTAATAGGTCTATCTTATTAGCTCTTGTATTTTTTTATAGTTTTATATGAGGTATGAATGGGCCCTTGTTTGTTATTTTAATTTATGTTGAATAAACACACACATATATTTTTGTATATTTTATGATTAGATTTTTAGAGTTGGCCCTTTTCTATTCCTGACTAACCTTTTTAGGTTCTGAATTCTAGGTTTAGGTTCAGTTTTTTCCCCTTTTTTCTTCTTTGACCCAAGGTCACACCAGCTAGCCACATGGGGAGGAGTGGGGAATCAAAGCCGGTTCTCCCAGATTAAAGCCCACACCTTTAATCACTATGCCAAATTATACAAATGAATACTGCAGGGAAAGTTTCCATACAAGACCTTTACACAAGGAGTGATTAAAATGGGGGATTTGCTGCCAGAGAATATAGTGATGGTCATGAGACTACATAGCTTTAAAAATGGGTTAGAGAGATTAATGGAGGAGAGGTCTATCAGTGGCTACTAGCCATGGTGACTAAAGGGAATCTCTGTGTTCAGAAGCTGTAAACCCCTGAATCCCAGTTCCAAGGGGCTTCGCTTAGGGAAAGCCCTTGGCCTCCATGCTCTGTTTGGTGTAGTGTAGCCAGTTTGGTGTAGTAGTTAAGTGCACAGACTCTAATCTGGGAGAACCGGGTTTGATTCCCCACTCCTTCATTTGCAGCTGCTGGATGACCTTGGGCAAGCCATAGTTCTATCAGAGCTGTTCCTGAAGAGCAGTTTCTGTCAAGAGCTCTCTCAGCCCCACCTACCTCACAGGGTGTCTGTTGCGGGGAGGGGAATGGAAAGGAGTTTGTAAGCCGATCTGAGACTCCAAGTGAAGGGCGGGGTCTAAATCCAATCTCTTCTTCTTCTTCTGTGATTGGACCTCCAGAGAAACTGGTTGTCCACTATGTGAGCCAGGATGCTGGACTAGATGGACCACTGGTCGGATCCAGCAGGGCTCTTCTTACGTTGAGCATCATGAAATCATGATGATTTACTTTCCCTATGATTTACTTTCCCTATGAGGAATGGTTAAAGTGCTTAGGGCTCTTTAGCTTGGAGAAATGACAACTGAGGGGTGACATGATTGAGGTTTATAAGATTATGCATGGGATAGAGCAGGAAGAGAAAGAGGTACTTTTCTCCCTTTCTCACAATACAAGAACTCGTGGGCACTCAATGAAATTGCTGAGCGGTCAGGTTAGAACGGATAAAAGGAAGTACTTCTTCACCCAAAGAGTGATTAACACATGGAATTCACTGCCACAGGAAGTGGTGGCGGCTACAAGCATGGACGGCTTCAAAAGGGAATTAGATAAGCATATGGAGCAGAGGTCCATCAGTGGCTATTAGCCACAAGGTATAGATAGGGGCTCTGGGGCAAGTGATGCTCTGTCATCTTGGTGCTTGGGGGGGGGTCAACAGTGGGAGGGCTTCTAGTGTCCTGGCCCCACTGGTGGACCTCCTGATGGCACTGGTATTTCTGGCCACTGTGTGATACAGAGTGTTGGACGGGATGGGCCTTTGGCCTGATCCAACATTGGCAACCCTTATGTTCTTATGTTCAACCACGTGGATGCTCTAAATATAAAAACAGATGCCATCAGCATTAAGCAGTATTCCCAGTCTGTTAATGACCAAATAAACTATGTGGGAGAAGAACTGATGCATTAGATTGAGGAATGCGTGATCCCTCGGAAACGCCTCCTTGGCAAAAATGCACTTTTTAAAAGTTTAAAACATTTACATCTTGCCTTTGGATCACCAGCATTCTCAAGGTGGTCCGCCCCCCCCCCCCTTCTTACGCTCGCCATCCTTACCATCTGCCGTGCAGAAGAAAGCACAGAATGCGGGACCAAAGAACCCCAACGGATTGACCAAAGAACTGTCAAATCAACAAACAGGGAATGAATAGGGTTGAGAAATACCTGGATATTTTGGGGGTAGAACATGGGGAGGGTAAAGGGTACACGGGAAGCCTACAAAGTAACAGACACCTAAGAGCTACATTTCTAATATCTTACTGCTAGGAAAGCATGGTTACACACAGGTACTCAACAATGGAGTATCATCCTTCTTCTCGACCCCTAGAAAGGAAGTCACCTGAAACCAGTAACCAATCTGTATTACAATCAGTGTTCCCTCTAAGCTGAGTTAGTGTGAGCTAGCTCACAGTTTTTTTAGCCTCCGGCTCACACATTTCTGTCTCAGCTCAGGAAGGAGGGTTCCAGAGCAAACTCATTTATGCAGCAGCCAAATCACCTGCTCACAACTTTAACGCCGGTAGTTCACAAAGTAGAATTTTTGCTCACAAGCAGGGCTATTTTTGGGCAGGAACGCACAGGAACGGAGTTCCAGCTGGCTCCCGAGTTGGCCACGCCCAGCAGGACCTCATTAGCATAACAGGCCACACCCAACAGCAGAAACTCATCAGGATTGGCTACATTAGGGGTGTGTGGCCTAACATGCAAAGGAGTTCCTGCTACAAAAAAAACCCTGGGTTTTGTCAACAAACAAGGTAAACAGAATAAGAAGCAAAGGGTGGGTGTGGCTGGATGACCACACTTCTGGTAACATGGGGGTGTGTGGCCTAATATGCTAATGAGCTGAACTATCAGGGGTGTGGCCTAATATGCTAATGAGTTTCTGCTGTTGGGTATGACTTATTATGCTAATGAGTTCCTGCTGGGCTTTTTCTACAAAGAAAGCCCTGCTCACAAGACTCCACAACTTAGAGGGAACATTGATTACAATACAAGCCTCTTTTCCTGGGCAATTCCCCCATTGGTTTTGTGCTAGGTTTCCCTTCCAGGTCAGTCTAAACAATAGCATAGAAAGATAAACAAGTTAACCCTATAGTGGCTGGAATCTGAGACCTTGCAGACACATACATTTCTAGCACCAAGCAGCCATTTTCTCCATTTGTCATCTGAAGTTCATTTGCAATTCCAGAAGATATCCAGGCCCTACCTGGATGTTGGCAACCATGGAAAAAAAAGTCCAGGCATATCTCCCCCCCCCCCCCCAAAAAATATAGATTTTTTTTCTGAGATGGGTAACCGTGTTAGTCTTTCTGTAGCAGTAGAACAAAGCAACAGGTCAGTAGCCCCTTAAAAGACTAACAAAACTTGTGGCAGGGTATGAGCTTTGGTGAGTCACCACTCACTTCAGGTACAGCTTGACTATAAGTCCACCTGTCCTTGTATCTTGGGGAGTGGGGTGATTTCAGATGCTGCATGATATTTAGCAGGTGAATGACAATAGCAGGTGTGATTGGATGCGGTGTGATATGCAGAGGGGGGTCTGAGGTGTGGAGGAATCAGCATTGGTAATGAGGAAACTCTCGATTCAGTCCAGGTGGGTGCATTGTCTTCAGCTTCATTATCAGTTATTCCAGCATCAGCATCAGCTGTCTTCATGAGTTAGAACTTCATCAGATACACAAGTATACATCCATTAGAGAGCAAATGACAAAGTGGGGGAGGGGTCAAGAAGTTACAAAGAGAGGCCTGTAATGAGAAGGAGATCCAATAAATGGAGTAATTGCTTTATTTGATTGGGTGGGGGCCACTACTAGGAAGTCCAGGGTCACTATGCAGAATCAGGCAATGGTGAACCATCTGTTTATCTCCTGCCCTGAAAACCCTATGAGGGTCACCTATGACTTTATGGCACTTTCTACCACCATGCAAGACATAAGCACCTGTAGTGAGTAATGAACTCCAAGTCCCCCTGTTAAGACTTTGGGATGGGGGTAAATAGTCTTGAACTTATTAATGAACTCTAATTCAGCAACTCTGTGTTGTCAGGCCTTCAAGCAGAAGCCCACAAACAAAAGACCACCTCCTATTTCTCACTTCTTGAGTCTTAGGATCCACCATTCAAGCCTTGCTTTCAGTACAAATGGTTGCTGGCACTGGATTGCCTTCAACAAGGATTGGGGCCTTTTGGGTGGTGGCTCCAGAGGTGTGGAATTCTCTTTCCCCAGAGCCTGGAAGAGTTCACTGCCTTCTGATTTTTCAAGGTGAAGGGTTCATGTGTGTAATCAATATCTGATTTAGGGGGGGAAACAGAACATCATGTTTTTCTTGGTAAAGCTGGAAAATTTGCGATTCTCACTGGTGGTAGAATGCGGGTTATCGCATTTGGGCAAATTAATTGAGAGGGCGGTGGCGATTCAGCGGCAGGGCTTTTTGGATGACACCTCCGCATTAGATCCCTTCCAGTCCGGTTTCCGACCAGGCCACGTTACTGAGACTGCACTGGTCGCCCTCACAGATGATCTCCGGGGGTGTCTGGATCAAGGCGATATGGCAGTGTTGATGTTGTTAGACCTGTCAGCCATGCTCAACATGGTTGACCATCAACTACTGATCCACCGCCTCGCTGACACCGGGATTCAGGGATTTGCCTTGCAGTGGCTCTCCTCGTTCCTTCAGGGTTGGGGACAAAGGGTGGTGGTTGGGGAACAGCT